AACATAGCCCTCTCCCCCCCCGTAGGTGAGTTTTCGGCCATGCCCCACCCGGCCCACACAGTTAGGATAGGGAGGGGGGCTGCCTTCAGGAAGAGACCCTGGACCAGGGGCATCGGGAGCCTCTCAGCTGGGGAATTTCTGCTTGGCTCCCCTTGATGGCAGACAGTCCAGCTGGTGGAAGGAGCGGGGGGGGGGGCAGGGATGGGGGGACCGCAGCCTTGGGGATCTGGGCAGCTGCCATGACTCTCTGCAGCAGTTCCCTTAAGAACGAGAGGCACGAGAGCTCGATGCCTGTCTCTGCTCCAGGACCGTCCAACGCTTGCAGCACCAATGGGAGGGCGAGAGATCGAGGGGGCTCTGGGTAGGAGTGGAGCCGTGAGCCTAGTTCCCCATTTGTGGTATTTGCGCTGTTGGGAGATCTTCCATCGGGGCCCGGGCACCACAGCCTTCGATCCCAGCGCCTGGGAACTCGGGGGTCCTCTGAGCCTGCAAATTCATTTAGTTAAGAAGGTTAACAACTTGGCCAAAGGGCGTTCTTTGGGGCAGGAACCTTTCTCCGTAAGAGGCTGCGCGTCCTTCTCCTCCTCCTCTTCGTCTGACTTTTCCTGCCTTCTCCAGTCTGTGGCCCCCATGAGTTTGGTGCAGCACCTCGGACACAGAACGATTCCCTTTGGGCAGTTGTCTGGCTTCAGAGCAGCAGCTCTGGGCTGCTTGGCTGGAAGGAAACCCCTTGCCTGGGAATGATGGCGGCACCCCTGGAGGCAGGTGGGACAGAGGAGGCTGCTTCAGCTCTGGGCTCCCGCCTCCCTGCTCAGAAGGCCTCTGTTGCTTCCTCTTGAGGGAGGCCAGGTTGGGATGTGGGGAGGTCCTTAATGTTCTTGCCAGAGGTGAAAGGATTACGGTGGCGAGAAGTGGCAGAAGAAAGGCTGGGAAGAACCATCTTCCTGGAATCTCACCTCCCGCAGACCCCTGTTCCCAAGAGACCCTGATAGGCACCCCACCCCGAAAGCAGCAGCTGAGTTTGGCGCTCCTGTCACAGCCTGCAAAGAGGAAGACTAGGAGAATGTCAGTGCCTGCCAAGAGTCTAGGCTGCCAGACTTCCCCACTTGTATTGCAGGGGGCAGAGGAGATTGCTGCCTGCCCCCTTTGGTGCGAGTAGGGTGGGAGAGGTTGCAGGGGGCTAGCCTTGCTTTCGGCTAAGGAGGGGGACCTACAGGGGATGGTGAGGGCAGTGGGACCTTGGCTCCTCTAACGTGCTGGGGTCTCTTCTCTTGGCAGCCCAATGACCCGGTCACCAACATTTGCCAAGCAGCAGACAAGCAGCTGTTCACGCTGGTGGAGTGGGCCAAGAGGATTCCCCATTTTTCGGAGCTCCCACTGGACGACCAGGTTATCCTGCTCCGAGCCGGTGAGTAGGGAGCTGGACCCAGGGCTCCATCAAAACATGGGAGCACAGCCAGGTGGCCCAACAGTCACATCTGGACGGCAGGTGCTGTGCGCGAAAGGGGGATGTGGCAAGCGGGGAACCCCTTGGGTTCTGCATCCAGAGGCGTTTCCGGGTCCTGCCACACTCGGAAGGAGAAGCAGGAGGAGGGAAGGGGAATTGAGGCCGGGCCCCCTGAGCCCCTTTCATTTCTATGATGGAGTCAAAGACTGGAATCTGGACTGAGGGAGGTGGGGCAAGCCTTCCGAGGCAGCCTGGCCCAATCTCTCATGGGGTGGCTGAGTAGGAGACAGCCTGTCCTCCCACCGCGTGGGGCTAGAAGGAACTGCCAGCTGAGCTTCCCAAACACTTCTCAGTTGGTCCCTGGTGTATCCTGGCAAGGAGATCCCGGCTCACACCTCTGGAGATCATTCTGAGAGTTCAAAGTGCTTGTGGACTACAACCATGGAAGCTTGTCCCAAAATATGTTTATTACTCTTGAAGGGCTGTTTATTTCCTCTGCACACTTAATTGGTGCTGATGCTGAAGGACACATCCAGAGACTTTCTTTAGACTCGGATTGTAAGGAGAAACTGGCTGCGGCAAGCGAGAAGAGCTGGAATGGGGGTGGCTGCGGGAGACAGGAGCAAAGAGCCTGGTTGCGCGAGAGAGCTGTGTGTGGATGGGGAAGCCCCCAGGTCAAGGCTGGGGTGATCTGGAAAGCAGGCCCGAGCCCAGCCACCTTGGTGCCCACAGCCGGCCTCTCCCTGGAAGGCAGAGAGCGCCTTTGCCCAGGTCACTGGCTTCTGCCTGCTTGCTTGTTTATCACCGTTCTGGCTGCTGACTGGGCTGGGAAACAGCCTGCAGTTGCTGCATTCACACAGCCAGAATCACTGGCGTGGAAAACTCAGGCAGGCTGGGGACTCGGGCGAGGGACCTCAGACGGGCAAATCCACAGTTGGGGAGCCTTTTGAAGAGTTTGCAGGAGCAGCAGGGAGAGCCCTCCCCCAAGCTTCCCACTGTTTGGTCGCTGCACCCAAAGCCTCCATTCCCATGAAGCCCACCCCGGCATCCCTTTGAAAACAACTCTGCTTGAATGCAGGATAGTTTAGCCCGAAGAAACTCTGATTTACTGAGCCCCTTTCAGCTGGGAGCCCTGCTTCCCACTGTGGAAAAGACAAGGGTGGCATCCGTGGGGTCTTGACCTGGCTCTTCCAGTCTCCCAGACTTTCTGAGCATTTAACTATTTAAGTATTCACTCTTAGTGCTTTCTCCCACTTACTTGATCTCATGGAGGAATTCATTTGTTATTTAATTTCACTGTGCATAGTGGCAAGTTAATTAATTTTCAAGGCATCTAACCCTGAAATGAAGCTCTGGGGTGCCATGGTCATCCTCTTGCAAGGCTTTGTCCAACTTCTCTGCCACTTGGCTCTCCCCAGGCTGGAATGAATTGCTGATCGCCTCCTTCTCCCACCGATCCATTGCAGTGAAGGATGGGATCCTCCTTGCAACAGGCCTCCACGTCCATAGGAACAGTGCTCACAGCGCAGGTGTCGGGGCCATCTTCGACAGGTGAGGAGCAGCGGCACACGTGTGCCTTGCCCATTTCTCTCCTGCACCCGGAAGTCCCAAGCTGGGTCATCACTGTAAAGAACGACACGATTTCCTACCCTGGCGGTTCCAGAGATTCCATTAAATACTGAAGCTGCTAACAGCCACCAAGCGAAAGGTTTTAGATTAGGGAAGCTTACTTTGGGTTAAAAATAAAGCCGGCTTACTCAAGATTCCTTTGTTCTTGTGTATGTGCAGAGTACTGACAGAACTTGTGTCGAAGATGCGAGACATGCAGATGGACAAGACCGAGTTGGGGTGCCTGCGAGCTATCGTCCTTTTCAACCCGGGTAACTCTGCTCTCTCCTCCTTTAGGAAGGAAAGGGAGGTTGGGTGGAGGCCAAACAGAGGGAAGACCTTCCCTTTGGCAGTCAGCTCCCTCACCTCTACATGAAGCTGATCCCAGAGCATGGAGAACTTCCCAAGCCCTTGAAATTGTAGCTGAACATCAGCCAGGAATGGCTTTCCTTGTTTAAAATGCTTGCATCCAGCCTTTCTACCTGGAGGGAGGTGGCTGAAAGAAAATGAGAATTAATGCACGATAAGTGATTCTTTTCAAAGGCAGCCTGGTTGGCCCCACATCTTCAAGATGGATAAAGGCTTAATGCACGATAAGTGATTCTTTTCAAAGGCAGCCTGGTTGGCCCCACATCTTCAAGATGGATAAAGGCAAGGTGGGAGTGTTTCAGGTTGCCCCTTGTCATTCCCTAAATCACCCAAGCAGGGATAAAGGCTAAAGTTCATGATTTTTTCAAAAGGTTTAAATGGTAAGGTGTCTCTCCTTTGAAAGACTGGTGGCTCTACTTAAGTTGGCCAAAGGCAGGCTGAGCCATCATTGTCTCTTGACTCATTAAAGTGGAAACAATAGAAATCAACAACCTTCTGAAGGTATGCAGAAAGCCTTTGGGGCTTTCTGACTTCAGATTTCCAACCTTGTGGAAAGTCCAAACTCTTCTCCAACTTCAGAGGAAGCCTACGAATACGACTCTCTCCAAAGCGTAGAGGTGGAGTTAGAGGAGGAGGAACAATTCTTCCCAGGATTGCAGCCTAGAAGTCTTTCAAAACATCAACATTTTTAAGAGATGTGAAAAACTTTCCTGTTGGAAATACTCCTCAATCTTGCAGAAGCTTACCTTGGCCCTAAAGAGATTAATGTCAGCAAGTTATGTGTGCTGTTACTAGCAATTGTAGTAGAGCTGGAAACTAGGTCTTATCAAGGAACAACTGAAGGAGCTGAACAGCTGTAGCTTTGCAGAGTGAAGACAGAGGGGGGAAGATAGCATTCTTCCAATATCTAAAAGGATGTCACATGGAAGGAGGTCCAGATTTCTCTGTTGTTCTCAAGGGCAGGACCCAGAACCCTAGATTTAGATTACAGGGAGGCAAACTCCAGCTGGAAAGTTTCCTAAGAGTAAGGGCAGTTAGGCAGTGGGACCAGTAACCTGGAGAAGTGATGGACTTCCCATCATGAGATAGTTTCAAGTGGAGTCTGGACAGCCATCTGCTGGGGGTGCTCTAATTTGGATTCCTTTGGCTGCGGCTTCTTTTTGGCTCTGCAGTTAAGCTTTGGTAGTCTAAAGGGGCTTATGGAACATCTATCAAAGAGGGGTGTTCTGCATCACTGTGGCTGATAGTGCCAGAATCCCATGCTGAGGGAAGTGATGTAGTGCTTTCCTCTGCTTCAAGGCTAGATGCATTTATCACTTGAACGCCATGCCTGCTCTTTTTGTTCTGGGTTCAGCTTCAGACAGTAGAAACCCTCTGGATTGTGGCAACCCACAAAGAGTTGCCATCACAGCACGTTAAGACCAGGTGACTTACCAAAACATAGGTCATTACTGCAGAAGAACTACTTTGGCAGAGAGTCCTGAATGTTCAGCTCCTTGGATCTTCATAAGCTTTTGGGAAAAATCTTACTAGATGGTAAACTTTTTGTAAGATGAGAGTGTTTTGTAAGGAAAAATCTTACTGGAGGAAAGTTTTTTATAAGGTGAGAGAGTCACATTAGATAAATCAAAGAGGGTAAATAAAACATCAGAATTTATTTAGAGTAATTGGATTTGTCAGGTTATGAAATCTTGACAAATCACGAAGAAATGTGCTGAGGAAAGGGCTGATGTAGAACCAAATTCCATCAAGGTCATTTTGATGTTCCTTTGTGCAATCCCGGGTTGGCTTTCATGTCAAGTTCCAAATTACTGAACTCTCTTGGACAGCATAAAATTGGTACTCTGTGCCCGCTGGGGCTGCTGTCATCTCAACGCACAATACGAGTTGCTCCTTATAGCCTTCAGTTCCTGTTGCTAGAAAGCCTACTGTTCCCTTCAAATGTTCCTGACATCCTTGGGAGGTTTTGAAAGATTTTCAGCTTAAAGGGCCTTCCTTCTCTTGCAGATTCAAAGGGGCTTTCTAACCCTGCTGAAGTTGAGGCTCTGCGTGAAAAGGTCTATGCGTCACTTGAGGCCTACTGCAAACAGAAATACCCTGAGCAGCCAGGGAGGTGAGTCTCTGCTGAAGGCTGGGGCTTCCCTGTTTCTCGCTTCGGGTGGCCTTTAAACTGCCTTCTTGTAAACAGAGACCCAGGTGCAAAATATCCTTTTGAGCTGGAAGATGGCTGGAGCTTTGCTGAGGCGGCAGCAGCTCCCTGAATTCCTCTCAGGATGCGCTCTGGCCCGCCTCCAGGATCAACCTAGGCAGGGGCGCGGGAATTTCCTGAGTCCTGCAAGGCGTTTGGCTTTCGTGGGTGGTCTTACTTTACCAGAATTCCCCCCAAATTCCCTCTGCATGCTGAAATTGGAGTAACATAATGGTAATTAACAGTTGCAGGCTGGACTGGGGCCAGGATCCCATCGCAGCTCTCGGGGCTGGCTGCTTCCCAAGGTAGACCTGCCGTAGAGAGCACAGTTGACTCCACTGGCCGAGATGTTACTCCTCCCAATAACATGAGCGTTACTGGTGGTCCCGATTTCTATATGAACCTTGTGGTTGGGGAGGGAAAACTGTGCACAGCCAGAGAAGGAAAAAATCTCCCCAACCCCCCGCAGCAGAGAGTTAAATTTCCTATTTGGGAACGGCTTTGCTCTGGGAACTCTTGGAGCTTTCCCCACGAGGGTGCCAGAACCTGGGAAGAAGACGGTCTCCCAGTGCCAGTTACTTTTAACCAGAATGGACCCAGCGTGGCTTGCTGTGGAGTGATGGCTGTCGATGGCTGTTCATCCCGCCGGTGACGAGGCCACAGGAAAGCGTCCAAGCTGAAGCAGCCCGCTCCCCCCTGCTCCCCCCTGGCAGCACCATGGCGACGTGACCATTGGTGCCCCCGCCCCGGCCCGCTCCTGAATGTTCCCCCGCCACCCGGCTTCCTGTTATCCTTCAAGCTGGTTATTTCATAGTTAAAATGTTTCTGTACATCTGTCATCTGTTTTAGTTTAAACGTAAAGCATTTGGATTATAGGGGAGGAGGGAGAGAGTGGCACTGCTTGATTCGTATTTTCCTGGCCAGCTCCCACCGTACTTGCCAGCTCAGCATCTGAAGGAACTGCAAGTTGGGACACAGCCGCCCCCCCATGGGAGGGTACAGCAGCCCTCAGCCTTCCCTGGGGAGGCCTCGAGACCCTTCATGGAGGGGCTTGAAGGGAAGACCAAAGGGGCAGGGTGAGACCGAGAGTACAAGAGGGGCTGTTTGAAAGCGGATGCAGCCTCCCCGAGGCGAGGGTCTGTGTGTGTGTGTGGGGGGGCAGCATTTCCTGAATCGAAGGAAGCAGCAGTGAGGACTGGAAGCTGGAGGCCAACTTTTTTGCAAGGGTTTTCAGTGAAGGGCACGCTGCCTCTCATGCACACTGGAATCAATAGCTTGCACAGCCAGCTATCCATTACCATTAAAAGACCTTCTGCTAATATTGACCTCAGATGATATACATGAAACCAAATGCGTGGTCTGGACTTGCCCCACACGCTAAGCCCTGCACCCAGGTTCACAAATCAAAGGTCCGTGTACACACACAATGCTGTGCCCAGACCAGTCAACCACATCACGACTTACCAGGCAGCCTGGTTCATTCTACACGCTAAAACCAGGGCTGGGGTTCCACCAGGCTCTCAACCACAAGAACACAGCCCCCTTTCAGCCCTCCTCTAGCCGGATAGGCAACCCATTCGGAAAGAGGTAACTGAGATGCCAGTACAGCTGATCTTAACATTAAAAAGCCAGCAGTAAAATTAAGAAAACAACCCATTAATTCCCAGAGAAGAAGAAGGTCACTTGGCCTTCTTCTGGTGTGTGTGAAAGGAGACTTACTTCGTGGGAGGCCCTTCAGCAGATCCTCAGCTGGTGTGGAGATGAAAAGTTGCTTTCTGAACGGATCGGAGCCGTTTTGATGTGCCCTCTTCCTTTTCTAGGTTCGCCAAGCTGCTGCTTCGCCTTCCTGCCCTCCGGTCCATTGGCTTGAAATGCTTGGAGCACCTCTTTTTCTTCAAACTAATAGGGGACACACCGATCGACACCTTCTTGATGGAGATGCTGGAAGCGCCACACCAGATGACTTAAAGGAGGCTTGGCCGTGCCAGCCGCTTTCCTCGGCCCAGCAGGCTGCCTGCCACCTGGACCTCTGCCCTGACCCATCCTGCGGCCACCTCCCCTTTGGTGCAAGAGACGCTGCCTGTCCCCCCACCCCTCCGCCCTGCCTGGGGTATGGTGGCACGGCTGACTTGGCCCTTTGCTGCTTCCGCAACCAGCTTGCGTCTGAGGACGACCAGCTTTTGCAGATGGAGAATTGCTCAAACAGCAGTCACTGCCTGCTTGCCCTGGGGACCTCCCCCCCGCCGTTGAGGCTTTGGTTTTCCCCCAGGGTCTGTCTGGGGTGCAGGAGGGTGAATTTATGCCAACTCCCCTGAAGAGTTTCAGGATTCTGTAAAGCCACCTTTAATTAGAACAAGGGATTGTGGGAAATGAAGCCATGTGTCGCTGACAGGTGACCTATAGAAGCAGGGAGGGGGTCAGCTCCACCAGTTTGCCTCCAGAGATGGCATTTCCTGGGCACGAGCCGGCCCCAAGGCTGCCTCTTCAAGTCAGGCAGGCAGGGCTGCGAGCCAGCCTTCGCCTCCCTTTGGCCGACCCCAGCTGCTGGATAAAGTGTCCCCCCGCCAGCTCCTTGCACAGAGCAGCTCAGGAATTGGGGCTTCTGGGAGCTGCTCCATTTTTATCCGGAGGGAGAGAGGCCTTGGGCTTGGCTGGGTGAGTCGGGCCGGGGAAAAGTGATTTTGGGCTCACGGGAGTTGTGATGCTGGTTTTCTGGATCTTGGCGGGCAGCGGCTTCCCCAGCAGGATGCTTTGCGAGCTCCAATGGCAGGGTACAGAGAGATGGGCTGTCTCTGGGGCTGGAATGCCCTGGTGCAGGGCCTCCAGGGCTGGGCATCAAGGCAGAGCCTGCCCTCGCTGGAGCCCCCTTCTTCTGCAGAGGGGAGGGACTGGCTACAACTGGCGGTCCCATGACGGAGGAGATGCCCGTCGCCTCTGCATGAATCCTGCTGTGCTTAGAAGAGGGACACGCATAGAAAGGCAGGCTCCCCACTCTGAAAAAGAACCCTTTTGGGAATAAAAGCATGCCTTTTCAGTTCCCCCCCCCCCCCCAAAAGAAGGCACCAAAAGCTGCTTCATCTGGGACAGGGTTAGGCACTTTCCAGTTTAAATGCCTGAGACATTGTCGCTTCCTTTGCACTGCTCTTCCCTCTTGTAACGCCCGTGTTTGCCATGCCAAACACTTCTGTGGGCCCTTGGGGTTCGGGTCAGACGTGGCCCATGGCTGTCGCTTTAGTGCTGGTTCGGTGGAGCTTCCCTGCACAGGCACAACCTAGCCCGGTTGCTCCTTCCAGATGCAGAGGGGGCGCGGTTTGGCTTGGATGTGGATGGCAACAGCAGGACCTCTTCTGCAGGGGGGGGGGCTCCCTCAGAGACTGCCTAGCCCTAGGAGCAGATGGGGCAGGCTCCTTGGCCCCCAGGGCTTTTTTGCAATTCCTAACTAAGAAGCAGAAGGGAAACTCGAGCCCAGCCCGGCCCCTGCAGCGTCCTTCAAAGAAAAGGGGGGAGGCTACAGCCTGGGGGGGTCCCAAAGGCTGGGCTGGACAAAGCGGGGGAAGAAGGTCTTTATTCCCTGCGGCTCAGCATCGTTGAAGACACGTTTCATTTGCGCTTGGGGTCCTCCCGGCCCCTTGGAGGCCACCGGAGCCGAATCCCGCGGGCGCCTCGCTCCCAGCGCGGCTCTGCTCCGGCGCCCGCAGCTCCCCTGCCCGCTTCCTTCTCTCGAGAGAGGCCCGCGAAGGAGTTGGTTGACTGCGCAGGAGAGCGACTCCCCTCGGTCGGTTGAGCCCGGGCGGCTCCCTCGGGGGCGTCTGGGGCCGCGCGGGTGAGCGCCGCGAGCCCCCGGCCTCTGGGCTTAACCCGCCTCGGCGGTGCAAGCGCTTGAGAGCGGGCGCCGCGTCCCGTCGGTG